AATGACATTTTTGTGTTCTTGTAAATTATTTGCTTTTGGCTGATTTTAGAATCAGGAATAGGGAAAGCTCAGCTCACACCAGGAAATATCAGTAATCAAAACCACTAGCTTTCTCGTGGCAGTTTCACAGATCTTCGGCTCATATACCTTTGAATAAACCCGCACACATTTCAAACAAAAAAATCAACCCAACCTTTTGGATGTTTATCTGATCTGAGGGAGAGCTGCTAACCTCTTTGAGGTTCACCAAAAGCTGATTTCTAACTACTTTTCAAAATAACGATGCCTAAACCCACTTAGATATTTTTCCCCTTCAGAATATAATGCAAACATCAGTTAAAGCAGTTCTTGCTGTGTAGAAAAGTTATTATCCCATTCAGTACCAAACTCTAATTTTTGCTCCTGCATGCATGTCCTTTGAGTTTCTTCCTCACGCTAAAATTTCCATTTTGGAATTTACTCCTCCATGTCATTCTGCTAGGGCTGGTTCTTTGGATTAAAATGAGAATGACATGAAGCAAGGAGAAGAAAATCTCTTGCATGTATTTATTTTGAGGGAAAAATAAAGCATTGTGCCTGGCTGACAATCAACAGGCTGGGTGCTGGGGCAAACCACACAGCAAGTAAAAAAAAAATAGTAAAAAAGTAAAAGAGGTGATGTGTGGAAAGCTGAATGACGTTAGTTTTCTAGGGCTCGTACAGAGTATGGGGTACTTAGGAAAACCAGGAATGGCTGGACTAATAAAATGTGTGAGCTTCCAGAACTCACTGAAAGGTGGGAGCTTTTATATCTATCGAGGTTTATTAGACTATTTATCTAGGACTTGTAGAAATGGGGAGAAATAAATACAGCTTGAAACCTTTGCCTTCCAGTGCTGGCTGACTGAGGCCACAAACACACTGCCTCTCGAGGGGGGAGAGCTGAGAGGTCAGTGGGCAGGTAGGAAGGTATTTAAAATCAGACGGCTGCATGGGTAACAGCTGCTCCCCTGACTCTGCGAATGTGAGGCACAGCCCACCGCTATCAAAATCAAGTGGTGTTTGTTCTCTTAACTACAGAGAAGAAACAACATTTGCCCAGCAGTGAAGAACAGTTACTGTGTCTTTGGAGTCTCGAGCATTTATCAGCAGGCTTGGAAATCATATAAACCTTATCTCCTTGTTTGTGTTTTTGAAAAACAGATAACTTTGCCCTCTAAAGACACTGCTATCTTTATTGGGCAGATGAAGTGGGCTCGGTGCCTGCTCTTCTTCAGGCGCTCGCAT